GCTTGGCCAAGTTTTAGCACTGACCAAATTTTATCTTTGCGAAAGACTTGACCAAGTTTCAGCTACACCGCCACTCATCCGGCTCCCCAGCGACATGCATTTACGCCAGCGTGCTTTCCTCCCAGTGGCACGGGCTCACACAAACTTTTCACCGACGCCGCGCCAAACCAGCGCAAACGCACTTTTCGCCAACGCCGCGCAAAACCCCATGGCACAGCGACATCACAAACGGACTTTGGCCACACACTACATACAATTAACCGTGTCGCACCCAGGCTCGCACACACCCACCCAGCTCCCAGCGACACGCCGCATTTACGCTAGTGTGCTTTCCTCCCGCCAGTGGCACGGACTCACGCAAACACACCTCTCACCAATGATGCGCAAAGCCACATGCCAGACAAACCAACCGCCTTTAGGAAGAGCCCTTCGACCAAGTCTTTTGAGGAAAAATGCCCAGGCCTTTGAAGCATTGAGTCCCAAAACGTAATTTGAACAAGGAAAAGGAATGCCAAGCTAGAATTCAAAACATCCAGATTCGGACGCTGCGTCGCGTCGTGTACATTCTCTAGGCACGACTGGTTGGTGTCAGTTGGCGTTGCGCGTTGATACATTTAGGGTGGTGTTACTGAACACATTGAATGCATTGTCACTGTATAAGCTTCCTTCATATTGGCTTGAGAAGCATGTCGTGGTTATCAGTAACCTTCGTAGTCTTGCAGGTCTTGCGTGAAATGTAGTCTGGCGTTCGCGTCAATTTCTGGAGCCAAGAGCAGCGCTGGAAGCTGGTCTTCGAGCCTGCGGTAAAGAAAACTGCACCAAAGCTGCGATCGAGACTTTCAATCGCCTACAAGTCGCTTGGGAGTTGAAGGATCGAAATGGGGCCGCGCAATGGTGTGTCAGGACTTCAGTACATCATTGCTCAGGCGTATGAGCACCTCGGGCTGGCAAGCTTCTTCTAGATTACTACGCGTGGGCGCAAAAAAATAAAGCCCACGACTCCGAATGCCCACGCGTGCTCGAAAACAAACGGTCTTGTGGGGCACACATCAGCCACTCTTGTAAGAGACACTCTTGCGGGACACTCTTGTAGGAGACGCTCTTGTAACAAGTGTAGAACACTCTTGTGGAAAACTCTTGAAGGTTCTTGTGGGGTACTCTCATGGAAAACTCTTGGGGGGGCACTCTTGCGCGACACTCTTGTAGGAGACACTCTGGTAGTCTCGCGCGACACTCTTGTGGGCGGCTCTTGTGGAACATTCTTGCGGGCTCTCGTAGGACAACCTAGAGTAGGGCACTCTTGTAGACGACACTCTTGTGGGACGCTCTCGTGGAAAACTCTTGTGGGGCACTCTACTCTTTGTGGGACGCTCTTGTAGGCGGCACTCTTGTATAGGCGACGCTCCCACAAAAGCTCTCTCGAGCGCTCTTGAAAGTCGCGCAAGAGCGTGTGTCCCACAAGGGTACAAGGGGTGGCGCGCAAAGGTTGCGCTAGAGTTTTCCACAAGAGCATTGCCTACGAGTGCCCTACAGGAGTGCTACAAGAGTGTCGCATAAGACCGTCGCCTACAAGAGTGTCGCACAAAAGTGCCCCGCAAAAGTTTTCCACGCGAGTGCCCTGCAAGAGTTTTCCACAAGAGCGTCGCCGACAAGAGCGCGTGCCCTGTCGTCCACACGAGCGCCCCGCAAGAGCGCCTTGCTGATGGTTTCGTCCCCGGTCTCGTTCCCAAAAGTCTTCAGCCATCCATTTCAGCCCTGCAACCTTGAACGCATCCTTCACAGTGAGGAAGGCGCCAAGGAGGTCTATTGTGGAAAAGTCTCGTGGGCCACTCACTCTTGCGGGTTGCTGTTGTATGCCCATTGTAGGGGACACTTGTGGGACACTCTTGTGGCATCATTGCGCGACACTCTTGTGGGACACGCTCTTGTAGGAAACTCTTGTAAGACAAAGTTGTGCGACACTCTTGGGATGGTCTTGTAGGACACTCTTGCGGCACACTCTTGTATAGTATAGGACCGCACTCTTGCAGGAGACGCGCTGGTGGGACACTCACGCAAAAGTGTTGGCACACTCTTGTAGAGGATCTCGTGAGACACCCTTGTGGGACACTCACCTCCAACACGCACGAAGTACTGTGCCTGCCACGAAAAAAGTACTACGTCACATCTTCTTGTCTTCAGCAAAGTTGCGCCGCATTACACATTTGGAATGATGTCGACACTTTCTGCGCGCTCTCACCTCCACCCAAATCGCAATTTTAGCTGAGACCTGTCACGAAAAGAACGGTTCGAGGCAACAGCCTGAAACGCAAATCCCACTGCCACAGCGACATTCAACACCTCCAACAGACCACCCCACACGATGCACGCGCCAATCCATCCTCGACGCTTGCGCATGTTACGTTTTTACCGCTAGTTCACACGAATCTGCCACCCAAAAGTTTCCCTCACTGTATCGATCACATTTGGACGGTTGCAAACGGCCGCAAACGGTTGCGAACACGGAGCCAACGTCACGCAAACAACGCTCTACCCTCAAACTCCAAAAGTTAAACAAGAACTCTTCGCTACGCATTCGGGAAGAACAGCGCGCATTCAGCAAACATCTGTGCCCCGTTTTTGTAAGACCTGCCTGGGACGGCAAAAAGTGACCTTCAGTAAGTTCAGGCCTCAGAAGGTCTGTGCAAAGTCTGAACCAGGAAAATCAACAGCCCCACAAAGCCTCGATCCAACCACGGAGTGAAGCCTGACCAAACAAACTGAGCAAAGCGCTGGACAATCCTGGCTTCTGCTTCAATCAGGTGTCCAGTTTCAATCAGCTCCTGCAACTAGACGCTGCAATGAAACCTGCGCCCCTCTTCAATGCTGTCGCATTTGGTGGCAAATTGTTGCCTGGAAATCTCTCTTGCTGCAAATTGCAACCCTTCTGAAGGTTTTCCCCGTTTCCTTTCACTTTTCTCTTAATTATTAAGAAATTTATCTTGGCAGACTTGGCAGCTCAGTGCTCAAATCCTCTCGGCTGATCTCTCGTTCACCCACAACTCGCCGCTCCCCAAGCTCAGCCGAGCCCAAGCTCCTGCATCTTGTCCACACTGAAGCAAACTTTACTGTGACACAAAAGTATGAAGCCTGCCATTACAGTGATAATCCATCCACGCATTCAATCCCAAACTCTCACAAATGCAATGAAATGTGCAAAAACTTAAGTGATACAGGGTAAGCTCGGATAAGTCGGCGTCTCAATTCTCCTGAGTCCGGCACCACGTGCTGACACTTGCCTCAGCCCTCCAACAGAATCAGCTGCTTCCGTCGGAATGGGTCTGTGTGGAAGATTGACTTGCCAGAGAGTTGCGGGTGAGCTGGCGGCAGGAGATGGAGCCTCTACTGTGCGTACTAAGGCAGGGGCAAGAGTGACCGGTGCTTGAACAGGTTGGCGTGTTTGTTGCAGAACGATAGGAGGAGTCATGGTTACCTGAGAAGTGTAGAGAGGCATCGCTGGGATGGCCGCTCCGCGGTATCCAACTGTTTGCATAAGCGGCGTTACCGCTGGTGCTGGGTGCGGTGCCGGGCGCGGTGCCGGGTGCGGTGCCGGGTGCGGTGCTGGGTGCGGTGCCGCTCCCACACACATAGCCACATTGGTCCTCAGTATTGGAGGTGTCTGGCCAGATAGAAACATCAAGCGAATGTTTGGCTGGCTGCGTTATCGCAAAGCTTACAAACGACATTGACGACATGGTGACTGATAAAAGTTTTAAGACCTTACCTGATGACTGCTTGAGGTGATGAAGACTTCTGGAAAAGCCTTCAGGTCACATGTCCTTCTCACCCTGACTCAAGTTCTGACTGCATCTATGTGGTCCAATCTGATCTCGCAGCAATCTTTCCCTTGCTTTGTATCCACGAAGAAACCGCCTGACCATTTCATGGCCACTATGAAAGTTTGTCCGATGCGTTCTTGTCAAGCAAGTAGCATTCGGCGCTGTTGTGCCTGATCAAAATTACAAAGGCCAGGGCCAACGCACGACTCACACAGGTTGACCAGTGCTTTCTCGCGATCTTGCTGAAGAGTTGGCCTTCTTTCCCGGCGGAACTAAAAGTATAATACTGTATATATATACCTTGCTTGACACTATGCTGAACCGCTGAACCATCCCTTTCAAAGTTTCAAGCAGTTATACAACTTCATACGTGGAGTGCACTCATGCGAGCATTCCAACTGTTTGCCCCTTACTGCGGGTCTAAGTTGTATCATAAATTCGATTTCCTTCGGATATCGCAGCAGCGACAGCCTGTCCCAGTCTTGCCCACTCCTCCCGGCTTATGACCTGAGTCTCTCGACGCAAGCAAGGAGATCTGCTGTTGTATCAGGATGCGTTTCTAACATTCATATACACGACAATCTGCTTTTGGGGCCTCTCTTCTCTCTCAATTCGGGCCCTAGCACCATCGTTGTTCCTTGAAAATCGCTTGAACTGCAATCCAAACACGTGCACAATCATGTTGATTCCTAATTTACTCTTTCCGGTTCATTGCCAGGCATCTGATCCAGCATGTCAAAGGTGGCTGCCATTCGGCGCGCTTTGCTGACCCTATACGCTGAGGAGTGTTGTGCACTTTTGAGGCGTCTGGATGCTCTGATGCACGGCAAACAATTTGTTAAGCACATTTTTGGTTCATATAAGTGCAACCAGGCTTGGACCAGGCTATTCAGACCCAAGTGGAAATGTAACAAAAACTACAGCGGTTTCTTGCCACATCCATGCGTCACTTCCAAGGAGTTCTCATCCGTAGCTTGCAGCCTTTTTCATTTTTTCACTCTATGTTGGCGTCGCCTGCTCAGCCACTCGCCCGAGCTTAAAATGACAAAGTATTTGTCAAATTTTCGTGAGAGCCTTGGGATGCTCTTTCTGGGAGTTGTCACGTCAGCATTTGGCAAAACGCAGTTCTTCACTAGCCAAACTGGTTGTTAACGCTATACACCAATCCAAACAAGGCTTTGTGGCCAAAAAAACTTTGCATTGACTTCGCTGGTAGAAAAACCAATGCAGGTGAAACAAGTGGTGACCAAACACCAGAAACGACTACGCAAAACCTAAGTCCAAGCAATCAAACGGTGTAAGCCTTAGCCACATCATGGCACAGGGCCAGGGCTGTCAAGGAGTGCAATAGTCTCAGGCCCAAGCCGAAAATCAAAGCCCAAACAACTTTGCCGACTCTTCGCCAACCTATATGTCACAAAATAGGGGTTTCACAAAACTGAAGCCGCTTCTTTTCTTTCTTTCTCTTCCTTGACTTCGGCTTTGCGTTTGAACGTGGCCTGCTGCACTCTTGAAGGAATACCTCACATCTGTTGGCGCAAGCCCCCACCTTTTCTGTGTGCTACTTTTTACAAACAGGCGGCAGCCAAAGTAGTACGCCGGGTCTTTCGAACTAAATATTGGCCATTAAGTCATGATCGCGTTCTATACATATAGTGAGAATACCTCTCTTGGTGCGGCCCGTGATTGTCACGGGTGGCACCGAAGAGGCAGAAAGTCAGCCACGGGCCACGATGAAGGCGTTGCCGCGTGGCAAAGGCAAAAAATGCACACTACACGACCTACGAACGAATGCGTGCAAGGAGTGGTGTGGATCGAACGCAGCAATGACTGAGGACTAATGTTGCAAAGCCCGCGCAGCGAAAAGGAAACTCTTTTCACGCTCAGAAAGGACAAAGCGTGGGTTTCCAGCCAGCGCTCCGGGAGTGCCAGGGTGCCGAAAGCAATGCGGTTCACACGCAACATGCACTGCGCAAGGCTTCCATCGCCCTGAGAAAGAATACCAAAAATGGATGGGTTTGGCTAGCGTTCCTGTCAGCGAAGCAAGCGCGGAGCACTTGAGAAATCAGATCACAGTCTGAACAGGAAGCCTTGCAGTTGTTTATAGCGGTCTTCATGCTGTCGCTGCTGGAAAATCGGGCGCCGTCATGGAATGAGGGAAAGTAAGGCACGCTGATAAAATTGGACACGATAAGTTTGGCACGTTTGCAGCCACAAACTACTATTGGCGACAGCCCCATCAACATGCGGCGCTCAGCCACCGCAAGTAGTCTGCACATCGGTTCCAGTTCCCGTTGATCGGCGGCAACACAGACCTCACAGTATTGACAATTCCTGTAAAGCTTGGCTTGATCACCATGCACGTGGCGCCCTATGAGTTGGGAGAAGTCCTGTGTAAGTCCGGGTTGTTTTTCCAAGGCTCCACTTCCGAACGTGCATCCAGAAGTTTCGGATGTCTTGTGGCTATCGCAGCCAAACGTGAGGCTTCCAAAAAGAAGGCCTGTAGCCAGGCCGTGAATCACTTCATGAAGAAGAAGGACAGAGCACCCAACGCTTGCCACTTTGATGCCGTTCACCGGGCAGCCAGCAACGCAGACAAGGAAACAATCAAAATAGTGTTTGGGTTTGGATTGCATCTCTCCTCTATACATCAAAACCAAAGCCAAATGACTTTGAGCTGAGTAGTGACTTTATGGGGTTGTATCTTGAGACTACGCAAAAAGCTCGGGGCCCCTTCTCCGTGCGACTGGAATGCGCCAAGCGCCCAATTTCGACGCAGTCTCGTGCGGGGCACAATCCTGAAGCATAGCGCTTGCCACGTCGGTGCAGCAGGCAACGTGGCCACGACCCACAAGCTAGTAAACATTCCGCCACGTAGCTTCTGCGTGTCCTCTATCTTACGCTGTTTTGAAATCTTGCGCGCAGGGATTTAAAACATTCTTTCTATTGAAATTATATAACCACTTCCAAAACAAGCCATACTGCCCTGCAACGAAGAGTTCAGCGTCGCTGGAAGAACCCAACGCGTGAAGAACCCAAGCGGCGCCTGGACGTTGCGGGAGGCCGGGCTCCTTTTTATCGCAGATTAGAGGACTTTGCCAATACGCACTTCTTCTTTCCAAGCGTTCGGCCTCTGTAGCAGCATATTATTTGTCATGCCATTCCTTAACAGGCTCGTAAAGGTTTCTGGGTTTTAATTGGCCTTCTCAAACTGCCAACCGGTCATACTGAGGAGCTTGTCACTGTGCCGATGGGGCTGCCAGCAATCTTCTTCAGTTCTCTCTCCCAACTGCTTTTCGTCCCTACGCGACGGGCATTGTCACGTGTGGTCTGGGTTCGTAGCAGAAAGCCAACCGTGCAGCATTCTTACCGCCTATCAAACCCGCATTTGGTTTGACCTCTGTCTTGAGTTTCCCAATTAACTGAGTATACAGTATGAGTTAATCTTGATCTTCGAGCGGTGGTGATTCAGGTTCATCAGCATGTTCGACGCGACCTTCTTCCCAAGCAGGCACAGTCCACCAACCGATCTTGCAACCAAAAGAAATTATAGAACCATTGAACCTCACCGCTAAACGCAAAAGTTTGCGTGGCTTGCCTCATCATACTTGACGATGAGATTGCAGGCCAAGTGGGGGCGCAGACCCTATATTGCAGAAGCTGGCCCGGCGACCTAATGTTCGGCCACGCTTTGCTCTGAACGCACTCCTTCACTATGGCGTCGTCAAGAACAAAGTTGTAAGTCCAAAATTGGCGGGAGACCGCCCCCCTCACCTTCATCACTGGTTGCAGAAATCAGGAAATCCCCTGCGCTTAAGGCCTTCAGCTTTTTTTTGCGTGGGACCATCTCTTGCTCTTGAGGGGTATGCCTCCCAGCACACGTTGTTTTTTTTGGAATGTTTTGAGGATGATCACGCCATGCGGCGTTTTCGTTTCCTCTTTGAGCAGCGCCGCGCCCCGTCCCTTTCATCATTATCAGTACGTTTAAAAGAACTACCCGTTGGCGGCTCGACCTTGTCGTCTTCTTTCTCGTTTTTCCTGCTGTCGTGTATCTGCATCTATCACCTGAGCCCTTGCGCCTTCTGCAGGTAGAGCGCTGGAGGTAATTGGACATTTTTGAAACTGAAACTTTTGGGCCGAAAGCGCGGCGCGCAACGTGGCCAAGGGCTCGAGCCTACAGAGTTCACCTTTTTGGCGGCTGGCTAGCCATGGTCTGCTTCAAGTTCGCTTTCGTGGTGGCGGCAACCGGCTTTAGACTCCTTGACGGAACCTCCAAGGTTCCAGGAAGATCCGGCTGGATAGGTGAAATCGTGTGGCAACAGCGCCATGGGTCGTACCACGGAGTTCTGGATTGTTTGAGGCCAAGAACATGGGATGGCTTTGTATGGACCTTGCTGGACACTATACTGAACAATGGCCTTGATGGCTCATGTTTGACCGCCCACTATGTTCTCTCGCTGTGTTGGCCTCTGTGCTCCTTGGCGATTGGGACGGCGCTCACCTTGATCTGAGTTTTGAGGGCTTGCGTCCGTTGCTGTGGACGCACACGTTCAACGATGGTGTGGGGGCGTTGCTGAGGCGGTGGGCGCGAGCTTCATCGGACCAGGTGCTGGAGAGATCCCCGAGACTGTGGAGCTCCGGAAGTTGAAGAGGGTCGGAGAGGCAGACCCATTCAAGAGAGGGCACGACACTGCGGCGGTCAAGGTCGGCATTAAAACGAGCGGTGTCTCTCTCACCATCGACCCGGAGGCCACACGTGGAGACGCAGCGCTCTTACTGGCCAAGGCTATGACAAGGCGCGCCTCTGTTGCCATGACGCTTGCCAGAAGACAGCCAGCAGCGTTTCAAGATCCACGCCTTGCCAAGGAGTTGAAGGGAGAGTGCTACCACTTGGCCACATCGGCGGCTGGCTGGGCGCAGAAGGCGGATCCAGGTTTCTGGTCATGGATGTGGAGAGGTGCTACTATACCACGGCCAAGTACACCTCTGAGTCGGAGCCGGGGCTAGGCATTCCAGGTGAGGTGGGAAGAAAGCGGAGGACGACGAGCCCGACGAGCCCCATGAAAAAAACCTTGCGCTGCTGAGACAATGCTGCAGACGAGGACATGCGAACAAGCAAGGGGTTCGAGTGCAGCGAGCATGAGGAGGCCTTCCTTACACCACCACCCAGACGCACATCAAGGTCGAGATCGAGAACCAGGCATCTTCCTGCTCAACATGACGGAGACGAACCTGCAGAAGGAGGTAGGGCCAGGGCGGTGAAGAGCGGTCTAGTGTTCGGAGAATTAGCCGGTTCACCGGGGCGTGCGCCTAAGTCGACCGTTCAGCGCAACCTGGCTCGTTTGGGAACGATCAGCTCCCCTGACTGCAAGGGGTTGCTGTCGACCCTCGAGGAGTTCATGGAGCAGCTTGTAGATGGGAAGAGCGTCGGCTTGGAGGAAGAGGATGCGTGGAAGCAGGTGGCGGCACAGTACCAGATGACCCTCCTCGACATCACCAAGTGGTTGTTCGAGCAGGCCACGGAGGAGCAGCGCAAAGGGACCAAAAGGCCTCACCAAGTTCCAGGCCGAGTGGCGGAAGCAGTCTGCAGCCTCGGACAGATCGGTTTCAGACGGGCGGAGCGCAGTGAGCCCGAATCCTGCGCCTGGCCTTTCCTCCTTGCCAAGAAGCGAGGCTACGACCCCACAAAGTGCAAAGGAGGAGGCGAACAAGACGAAGCGGAAGCCTGCGTTGGTTACATAGGCTCCAGGTTAATATTGCTAAGGCACGTTGGTGAAAGCCCAGCAGGATAACACGGCCGCGCCAGGAGGATCGGTCAAGAGCCTCGGAAGAACTTCAGAAACTTCACAATATTGGCTGGAAACGTGATGCGCTGCCAACCCTTTCCGGCGTGGGAGAACTTGCGCTCCCCCTTTTGCAGAGACCTGCCTTCCACCGCTTGCGCGACTCGGCTATCGAGCCTCCTTGGCGCAGATACCGTCGTTGCACGCGACGCAGTACTGAAGAGAGTTTTTTTCCACTCGTCTCACAGGTCTAGCTGTTCCCTTCGGAGGTATCTCGGACATTCTTAACCAACACAGGTTCGCCAGGTGGATGGGTGATCCCTGTGCTGACCGTGCCCCCACTGGTAGGGAAAGTCCTAAGGCTTTCACCTTTCAACTTCACCGCAATCAAGTCTTTGAAGGAATAGGCGGCCCTGTGCTATTTAATGTTGGCGCTGAAGAACTCATTCACCCATCGTCAACCATACTTGTCTCCATCTGTGACAGGACAGTCGGCTGCTGATCTTTTTGGTTGAACGTTGACCTTCCTTGCGAACTCGCTGACCAAATCAGCCATCTCAGCTCCCTCCTTGCGAAAACTGGTTCCTCACTTGAATGCTTTGTCTGCGTCTTGGATACAGCATGAACGGCATCACGAGCCTTGATCTTCCACTTCCTTCAGCTTTCGGGGTATGGACAACGAGCGCTTTGATGTGACTTGCTTCCGTAGTCGAAAACCCAGTCCTTCACCAACAGAAGATTTCTTCGCAAGCGGCTGAAGGTTCCCTTCATCTCCCTTTGGAGCTGAAAGGTACGGATCGCATCTGCCAGTGGAGTTGGTTCACTTTCACGGGTGGGATCGCTGTTGACGGGATCACTCGTAAAATTATACGACCTCCGAGAGTTCAATGGGGACCAAAAATCAGTTCTCCTCCTGTAATGACTCGTATGTCTTCTCTCTTGGTAGCCGTGCGCCCTGTGGAACAGAGATGGCGAATAGGTCTGGCCTTCTGATCGCAAGCCCTTCGTGTGCGACGCCTTCCGCCTCGAGAACCATAGCTATGACCATCCACCTAAACAAGCTGATGCGACTTTTGGCTTTTGGCAACTCTGATGCTCAACATGTTCTTGAGTGGGTCAGCAGTTGCCACATACTGATCAATAGTTTGATTATACGCGGGCGTCCAACATGTGGCTCTCAAAGTGTTGCTTCGTCGCTCTTAGTTCAGATGCTGTGTGCCTCAAAAGCCCCCCCGCGTAATAGCTTCAATGAAGTTTTTTTGCCTCATGCTTCAGGGCTTCACTTTCTTTAACCATACTTGCAGCTTCGACTATCCTTTTGAGTCCTTCAGCTCGCAGCTTGTCACGCTGAGTGCTCACAAGCATGAGCGGCTCATTCTGCCTCTCCATGGCCTGCCGATATCTCTCCCCTGCAATCCGGCCAGGGCGTGAGCCCCGTCAGGGCCGTGTCCCTCCAGAGGAGCAGCCTGCTTCTGCGAAGCAGAAAGCGTAGCCGACCCCAGGTGCGGGACCCAGAAAACAAACAGTTTTTGACGTTTTTTTTTCCGCTCTTGTTGCTCACGATGGGTCAACATAGCCCAACATAGGACCAAATAATGCTGGAAATGCGTGCCGCACCGGGGTGCTTCGTCTGCATCGTGGGCGGATGTCTGGCCGATGCTGGCTCTGCGTTGCCCCATCTTGGCGTTATCTTGGCACATCTTGGGGGCTATGTTGGGCCCATGTTGAGCTTATGTTGGCCCGAGCCTATGTTGGCCCATCTTGGTGCTATCTTGGGCTATGTTGGCCCAGCATGACATTTATGTTGACGCACACGACAACAGCAACAATCACAGCCACACCGCCAACAACACCATCACCAACAACCACAACAACAGCCACAACCACAACCACGATCGCGGCTTTCGCCCCCCAGCCCCCTGACTTGACGCCCCTGGCCGGCTGTCGGGCGTAAGCCCTTAAATCGCCGCGACGACCTGTGCGATAGTAATCACACCCCTTTCTTGATCCAAATATCGGTCGGTAAGTAGATACAATAGCACGCATTCTTTACATAGCGAAAATACAACTGTAACCAGGAGCTGTTACAGGGCACATGTCGTAGCGAAGCTCACAGGAACGGACAACACCTGTCTTCAGGTTGTACGTCTGCTTGTACCTTAGCAGTTCTACTTTGTCCCATTGATTCCTGAGCATCTTCTGAGCGTAGCACTTTTGACAGGTCGTGTAACCAGTTGCCTCAGGCTCGCAGGCTCTCTCAAGTCAAGAGCAGTTCAAACCAGCTTAAAGCCAGCAGTGCAGGGCTCGGTGCTGTGTTGTAGCCAGGTGTTCCAAAGTTTGTCAAAGAACAACACTCGGCACTGGTCTGCAAGTCTGCACCATCTTCCCAAAGACCTCACCGCACCGGAGGCTGAAACAAGCTACACGGTAAAGTAGTTTATAATGCTGTTGGATACAAGCCATTTCACCGGGCGCAGCAAAGTGCAATGACAACTTGCAACAATCTGGAAGATGGGAACTCCTTCCAACTTGACCAAACTCTGAAGTTTTAAGAAGCGATGAAAGTAAATGATGCATTGAAAATTGCGTGACAAGCTTCTCATACGAACTGGTAAGACACCTGATTGGCTTGATGCTGTAAGCTGCCAACACATACAGTAGCTGCAGGCAGTGCCTACTCTGTGAACAAAATCAGTTCCGCTCAGCTTGGTACACCTTGGACGCGAGCACATCTAAAGAACGTTGACAAGGAGCTGTAGGGCCCATTCTATGCATTAGGCTGCCTATTAGGCTTGTAAGAAGCTACTAGTAACAAGGGCATCGCTACTAGTAACAAGTGCCTTACTAGTAGTAACAAGAAGCTATTAGTAACAAGAAGCTACATTAGGCCCTATTACGCTTGTGTCTTGAGACTGCAAACTCCACGATGTGCATCCCAGAAGCTCCACAATGCGTACAGCCGAGTGGTTGAAAGCCTGTCCAACCACTGTACGCTCATTGAAACAAGCATTGCAGCATCACCTTTTCGGGCCTCTGGGAGCATGGCTCGGACATCTTCAGGATTAGGGCCCACCGAAGCGCAGCAAAGATGCCTGAGGGTTTTGGGCATCTGAAAACACACAAGGCAAATCACTCAAATGGAAGCTAGAATGCAACACTTCGCCACATGCCTCAAATGAATGATTTCACATTTTTCATAGCCAAAGGGCTGTGGAATCTTTGGTAAGCTCTTCTGATCCATTGCCATAGCCTCATCTCTTTTGCTTCTTCATCAGGCTTGCAGCTGTTCAATGTGCCAGAAACAGCAAGCAGCCACAATTAAACAAGTAAAGGCAGCTGCCCATGCCTCGCATGTGACACAAGAAAAACGCAACAAACTATGCCTGAAAAGCCAGCAGCCATGCAACTACTCTCATGTCAACACCCACGCCTTTGGCGTTGGGCACGTTTTATATGTTTGACGCCAGTTTACCAATTTGCTCATCTCGACATGCCTATTGTTGTGAATCTCTTGTGGTGCACCTGCAAACCTTGACTTCTCTGAACTTCGATCAAACATCTGCGCATGCAAGCAGAAGCAAACATACTGGTGTCGATGCTCCATTGGCATGTACAGTAGCATACTTTGGGGTAGGATTAGCGTATTTTTTTTCGTCAAACAAAATCTCGCTGCAAACCAATAGTTAGTAGCATTCCCAGGTTTCCAGAAGAAAGATTCAACAAGGACTTCACTGGAAACTCCTTCTCAAGGCACGCTTCACATTGCCCTTCTGGAGCGGTGCGGAGTGGCTATTGTGGCTGGGGCAAGATCTGACCCTCTGCAGAAAACAAAAACACACGCTGAAATGTGCTGCATAACCGCAGGAAGGAATCATGCAAGCAACTTTGAGACTTTTGCTTCTGGACAGGAAGGAACTGATGACTTCGGCTTTACCCCAGGCTGGCAAGCGAGCAAACAACATACAAACCTTTCAAGAAAAACCCGTGCAAAGTGAATAATGACAATGTGCAAGGAAGTGGGGAAGGCTGCTGAGGCTTGCAGAATTTGAGTGCCCTTTTCAACTCGCTTAATGTGATGGCGAGACAAATCCCAAACTTTCCCAGCGTTGCAGGCCAGCTGATGGAAACTAGCTGAGAACATCAACCCTGGTAGTGGCCATCAATCCAAACACCTAGCCGCGATGGTGATATCTGTACGTGAGAATCAAAACAATACACTTGTTTAGATAGTTGTTATTGCCAAGGTCTCAGGTCAGCCAAGTGGTCTAATGGATTTGGCACTCATTTGCTGGATGTGTTCGCTGCAGTTCAAGCGTGCAACATATCTACAAACGAGCAAAAACATTACATGACTGCATGTTCGAGCTGGTCAAGTAAATGTACCCGAACTATGCCAAAGGAAATGTATCTGCTAAATGAATCTCAGGTTGCTGATGATGTGATTTCTTCGACTTTGAGACATTGACCTGTCAACGTTTAATGCTCGAAATGCTTTGAATGCCATGGACAGCGGTAACATCCTTAGCTCTTTTTCGAGACATCGCTGAAAGCTCGGCGAGTGTGTGGTCTTTCCCGACCCTCTCAAGGCTAAGTTCCCAACTTTTGGGTTTTGGCCAGCAGCTGGTCGCGCTTTACGCTTGCCAGGTTGAATTTGGTTAAGCATGAGGTGTTGCCGACCCACTAAATCACCTACCCATCGACTACTTTTTCCTCGAATTTGCAATCAGCCATGCAGCTGCTGCTGCACCAACGGCACCAACCTCGGTCAAACACAAACAATGTGACACGAGCTGTGTGCTCGTTTTGCATTGCATGTGCGTACAGCCCAGCAACCAGCAACAGGGCAGCCATTGATTGCACGTTCATTCCACCCTTTCCAAGCAGCGCCTGCAAAGGTACCCACAATATGGATTGGCGCCGTGAACGATCTTCTACAATGATGACAACAAAGGAACAATCGACATGTAGTATTTCAAGGAGGGCTTGGGCGCACTTTTCCACCAAGGGGTTTGGTTTACCGTCAGGGGTACCCAAAAGGACTGACCAAGAAATGCGGATGAAGGGGCAGGGGACTCGTGATATTCAGGGTGTGTGCGAGCACAAACGTCCACAAGCCATGAAGGTTTCTAGGCTGGGAATGGATGTTTCATGATGATGGCTACCCTCGAGATCGTGACCCCTTTGCACTTTCAAATGTTATTCCCTACTTGCCAGGTGAGGCTGTGAGATTTTACTATATCCGGCGTCCTTCTCCTTCTCATGCGCCTGCTCCTCCTCCACCAGACCTTAACTGCAAGTGCTGGAGTGTGTGATCGCAGTGGCCTCAACTGCAAGTGCTGACGAAATCAGAGCACGTCGAAGATTACCACCATGTCCAAAGCGCTGCGCCTGCCACGAAAAATCTACACATCGAAGTAAAACCACTCCGATCCCTTGTACCTGTCACGAAAAGTCAAGTTTGGACTACCAAAACGCGAGGTTTCCCACCAGATTTTGCGAGCCTGCGCAGTCGAAATGCACTTCGAAGATTTCGAGAGGCATGAATGTACTGTAAATAGCAACGAACTAGCTGCACACGAACGCGCAACACCTCGATTCAACACCGGCCCTTAACTCCTACTGTAAGAAACCCCTGACCACACTGTTTGGAGAAAAATGACGTTCGTTTTTAAGAGGTAATCTGGGTGAAGAAGTTTCAGGTGAACTGAAGTGAGGCGAGGCAGGGCCGGCAGTGGTTGATTACTCTCGCAATACGGTGAATCAAGCACGACGACAAACGACACGTTTCATGATATGGGATAGGCTTGAGCAGGAATTGCCAAGCTGAGGCGAGCCAGGTAAAAGGAGGTGATGTGATGAGACGCGGCGAGGCTACAGAGAAGGACGGGCAAACGGATGGAAGAGCCAAGAAAAATGAACATGCATAGTTGCAAGAAAAATGCATCTAGAACAAGGCAGTTGCGCTCCTTGCACTTCTGATAAACGCAGACCCTCAAACCTTTTTGTAGCACCCAACGCCAACTTCAGCTGAGATGGTTGGCTCAGTCACTTAGTCACTGCATACCTACCTCAATGCGCTTGCAGTTCAAGTCCACTCTTTGCCAAAAATTGAGTATTGATTGTAGGAGCGCCATGCATCACACCATGCATGGCCTCGGGGTTCGGAATTCCTTGACTTTCTTCCCAACCAGCTTCTCTGAACTGCAGCACCTCAAACAAAACTCAAAACGAAGGGAGCCACGCAGGGAAAGCAAGTGCATTTCATTTGGAATGCTATTTAAAAAGTATAAGAAAGAACATGAATCAACCTCACTCATGCGGCATCTGCTGGCAGTTTCTTTCCTAGTGCACCTGCTTCTCAGATCCTTCAAGAACTCCCTTCAGCTCTATCTTCTCTTCTGTGCGAGCTGCATCAGAATGTAATGCATCCTGTTCATGCAAGTGACAGCTTACATACTGAATACATATCTGCACAATTGCCCTCTGGTCACCTCAAATTCTGCTGAGGCATCCCTCCCAGCAACATCTTCGAGCAGCTGCGCCCCTGAGCAAACATCATTGTATCACGAACTAGCATGGGTAAGCGTTCAATCTGGTGCTCTAGTTTCCAGGCTCCGGGCCACCCGGATGCTCTTGAAGGAATTTGGACGTGTCATAGACTAGGCCATGAATGGCCATCCACACATCTCCACTACCATTGTGCTGCGCAAGCTCTGCTTGACTTACGGTCTTCATCCTGTTTGGCCACGAGGCAAGCTTGGGCCAACGCAGCCACATCACCCAATCAAGAATGGGAAGCTACCCGATCCTTACAACTAATCTAGCACTAAGTGTGCAAACAAGCAAGGAGGATTGACGCAACTTTGACTCAACCGGCTTGGAACCCAAGTGCTGAGTGTGTGTTTTTTTTTTTTTAAACGCCGGTATTGAGCAGAACCAATCTCAATTGAAAATGAAACCAAAGGCATCGATGTTCTTGCAGATTTTCCATCGACTCTGTCGTTGAGTCATCAACCATCAGCACAACCAGGTGTGAGAATGTCCAGCTACCAGTACACGCAAATAAGCCTTCCCAATCGTGTCTCTGAAATTGATGGAAACAACAGGCGACCTCATCTGTTCTTCCTTTGGATCAAACTTCCTTGGGCTTGCCATCTTCCTTCCCTGAAAAAGCTCTTTGCATCATCTACCAGCTCCACTTTTGTTTGCGAGCGCTTTTTCTGCGTCGCCTCTTGCTGACAGGGCGGCGTTGAGGATTTCCACTCTGACTCTGTAAAGAAGGCTCGTTCGGAAGTATTGCACTAACCTGCGCTTCCAGTTGTGGCAAATCCAATCCGAGCTTGCGCGCAGCAACTGCCAGCTTCAGTAGCTCAAAAACCCCAAGCTCGTTCAACCGATGAGGAGACAATGCTGCGAGGATGTGTCCTTTCATTTGTGGTAAAATGGTGTACTCAACCTTCGCCAATGCATGCAGGAATTTCACAGCATCTCGAGTGCTCAACTCTTCAGGTGGTCGTGAGAGCAACAAGCCCATGACCGCACCAAATAGTTTCACAGGTGCTATATGTACCTTTGCAAAGGCGTGCACTACATTGATGAGCTCAGGACAAGACTGGACTTCTAGTGCTTTTATTGGTTGGATCGAATCGTTGCACTCAAGAAAGGCTTGCGCCAGCCTTTCGTGCAAACGGGAGTCTCGGACTTGAAACTTTGCAAATGCCATAGTTAACGCGGATAGTTCACTAAAAGTTGCAAGCTGAAGGTTGCAAGGGTGTGACACACGGTGTGACACTGCAGACTCATTTCCTGGAAGGGTGCGGCGAAGTATTTGGGTTGCACGGCCTGTCAGAACAGGGCAGCTCACCCCAGCTTTGGCCAATGATGCAAGCATCGAGCTCATCAGGGTAGCGTCCAAGGCATGCAGGTGGCGCCGAACTTCTATGGATAGTAAATCCAACAAAGCAATGTCTTGACTGGTAAATTTTGCAAATCCATACAGCACACTTGAAAGCTCCTCAGCTGTCAGAAGAGTTCGTACGTCTTTTTCACGTAGTCTGCTTGCAAGTGCTGTCAAAATCCTTTCATCATGAACCCTGCAAACGGCAAACGTTTTGGCTATCGTACCACAATCCTTTGAGCTCAGCTCGCTGGTTTGTCGAGCAAGTGAATTGCTGATTCCAAGAAGCAGGGCTGACACTTGTCGATCACCACGGATTCTGAAGTTTGCCATAGCTTGCAAGAGATTGCAAAGCTGCGCAACTGTAAAAAAGGACAGATGTTCCAATGCAACTCTGGCTCCTCCGTCTATTAGTTCAGATCTCTCGCACCTTTCACTTCGATCTGGTAGTGCGGAGGCAGAAAACAGCTGGGACAAAGACAATAGCGAGGTGGCCAAACACGCTGCAGTAGCCTTTGACTGTCTCAGCATCTCAAAAAGTTCCGATTCCATTCTTCCCACAACTCGGTCATTGCGG